TAAATAATTTATTAGTTTTACCTCGTAATTTTTTGTTTGTTTTATTATCATTATCATAAATAACGTTATCTTGTTGCCGTTTGATTTGGTTCATGTTGATACGAATATAAATGTATCTAAAACGTAATCGAGCAGACTGTTTTCAATTGACAAAACACGTGCATATATATGATAGAATATAAAAACAAAAATTCAAGAAAAGAAAAGCCATAGATAGACATCATATATGAATCATCTAATAAACGAACTGTACAAACGATCTAGAATGATCTTTGTTTAAAAGTCTGTGTCGAATTTTTATTTAATTATTTTCAAAGGAGGGGACATTATCATATTTTTATCAGTAAGAATTCTTTACATTAGCTACAAAATACACTTATTAAAACTAAGAAAAAGTTGGGGAAAAGACATCTAAAAATGGCACACACTATCATCATAGTATGAATTTTAATTCTGGATCAAGCTTAATAATATCTTATTTTGAAATGCTCATTATCACAAGAAAAGAATAACAATTTAATTTAATTTTTATTATCTTTTGTATTAATTAATACATATATATGTAACTTTTAATGTACGTGACGGTGCGTACGTATTGTTCTTTTTTTTTAATAAGCGTATGGAAAGGTATTAGAGTAATGTATATTTTTTTTTACCGCAAATCATGTAGTATATTTATGAGATACAAAAAAAAATATACTTGTTTTTAGGGTGTCGGTGTTGATGTCTGTTGGATCCCTTCTAAACTCACATTGTTAGTGGTAAATCCTCGATCGTTATTGTATGGAAAGTAGTCGACAAGCATAACAAAACTGAATAGACACAACATGAATACATAAAATATCTACATATAATAATATTGAATAAATAATAGTGTTCAAATTGAATTTAATCACTGACAATATTGTAATAGTATCGAATAATGGCTCTTCTACCGAAGGAGTCCTTGAGCTGATTATCGATTATTCTTTTTGGCCAACTACGTGTACCGCTAAATTAAACATTCATCCTTAATGTGAGAATTTCTGCTGAAAAAAAAACATGATCATAATTGATTACAATGATTTCTTTTGGTTATTAATCTGAGATACGAATTACAAATTTAATCGATTGTAATCGATAATAATCTTGATTTTAATACAGTTTAATCGAAAAGTACTCGCAATATTGGCATTGTAATGAAGTTTCCGAAACATATTTTTAAGTAGGAAATCATCAGCAAAAAGGCTTTTTTCAGCTTACATTCGTTTTATGGCCTGCGATCGAATAATCCGATAAATGCTAGACAGCACACATATCTGCAAATATTTTCAAACCTCAATAGTTAAATGAAATTCAATTATATGTCACTGACCAGTATATCCATAATAGTTCCTTTGTTAATAGAGTTGTCAATGTAACCATATCAGAGTTGATTGACATGCGCTTGTACACATCTAGTGGCTAGAAATGAACGGTTATTCATTTCTTCGGCTAGTTTCAACGAAGAATAGACGAAATATAAATCTGATTGTGTTGTCAATAGTTATAGAGCGAAATTTTCATCTTGAGAAAAACATTTATCAATAATTTGTACTGCATGTATATCAAATTCTCTGGCGCACAAAACAGAATATATTATGAAAAAACCGTCATCGACTAATTCGGCTGCTTTTTTGTGAATCTTACTAGTCAAAAGTGCAGCTGCGATTGGATTCTATTTCAATTATCAGTAAACAATTAAAAATTAAAAAAAAAACAAAACAAAACGCACAGGGTTATGTGAACACAAATAGATAGACAAATTGAAGTTGGCAGCAAATATTGGCCAAAGATATATAATCACGAATAAATTCTAAACATACAATTGGTTAACTTTCACTTCTCTTAATATCCGAATGATTTCAGAAATCTCAATCAATTTAATAATTATTTTTTTATTTATAAAGGATCATAATCCTACCTGAAGTTAAAATCATTTGAAGACTAATTGCTACTCATCTAGGACTCCATTGGAATTCAATGGAAGCATTGGTCATATAGACTCGATTGACTGCATCAATATCAAGTGTATAACACGAACTCAGAGCATCCAAATAGCTTGGAGAACGCGAATTCTTATCGAAACCAATAGCCAAATATTGACCTTGCTCAACATAGACAGTAGAGTTGTACATATGAATTGTTAGTTTGTTGTTATCATATTCATAAGCACCAAAGTCTGTCTTTGATATATAGACTACTTGAAAAGAATGTGTATCGGATGTTAGCGAAAGGACATAAAGAACCACATGATCTGACATGCTCTTTGTCATTATTGGATTATGAGAATTTGAAAAAACAATAGAAACTTGTTTTACATAACCATTTCGTCTGATAGCATCGTCTCCATTGAAAACAGCAAGTCCGTTTAGTTTAGTCATCCGCTCTAGAGGATTCTCAATGGTACCATAAATATCGACATTGCCTAGAATCGAGAATAAAAATGTTAAATGATATTTATGCGAAATTTCTTTGCCCTATTCGGATGCGACGTTTTTTTTCCCTGAAAAAACAAAGAAAAACTATGATACTCTCAAGCTTGACTGATAAGGTTTTTTTACTTGGAAAAATTCGATTGTTTGTAGTGCTTCTGTATTCAGATATTGTTTGTAATACATTTGTTGTTTATTATTATTGTCTATCGTAATTTCTTTCTTCGACAATGGTAAACCAGTTTTCTATGAATTCTGCAGAGTTTCACTCACTTTCTTGTATAAGTCCTTAATATTAATCAATCGTCAAAGTCGATCGAATGATGGACCTTGTTCAACAAGAAGTTCTACAAATTGTACTGAACTATGCTATATTGCATGAATTAAAGCACTGTTTAATTGAACATCCTTTCGAAAGTAGTGGAGATCAGAAACTAAGACTCTCTTCGTTTATAATATTTACTGTCCACTGAATTTTAACGTTTTCGATGAACATGTCTGAAACAGTCAAATCAAACTTGTTCCACGCCATGGCTAATTTGAGCTTTTGTACATGAGCATCAAATATTTCATGCTTGGGCATGCTTGTCGCTAAGTAGAAAAATGATTCAAAAATCGGGTGTGGGGTGTGGGTGTGGGTCATATTTTTAATTCACCCACACCCACACCCACACTCACACCCCAGAGAATACTTATATCAGTAATTAAATTATTTGATGATAAATAGATTTCAAGTAATTACATTCCTTACATAATTAGTAGTAACGACATCGGTATTATGTACTTTGAAATCGATGAAATTTGACATTCTGTCTGCCAAGAAAAAAAACTACTGTTTGTTTATTATTTCAAAATCGTTAATAATACTGAATTAGAGAAAAAGATCTTATGACGAGTCAAGAAAAGTCGTTACTACAGAAAAATTCAATAGATGTACTACTGTGCCGTGAGAAAACAAATACAAAAAATTGTTATTAATATATTGTAAAACGTTTTCAAATAGTGAAAAATGTCCAAACCTAACAGCTTCATCGTCGATATAATACATATGACAACTGCAATTTTAGATATTCTATATCGATAAGTTTCCTTCTAACAGTAAGAATGGATCAATATACTGTTTAGTTAATTTTTTAGTCATAGATTATTCACACATAGCGAATAATTTCTTTTTAAAAATATAACTGTAATCTAAATTAACAAATAATAGGCAGGCTTTTCAAAATTGAAGACTCATGAATAGTAGAGAATTTTGCATATCACAAGCATTTATATTTTAATATTCTTCTTCTTCTTTTACGCTATGAAGAGACTTATTAAATGTATTTGTGTTTAGTATTTAAAAACTATGTTTTAAACGATATCAACTCTTCAACTGAATCAAATAAATTTTATTCGTGACTACAGCGAAAAAGAAAACTTGATTAATCATAAACGATATAAACCACAAGAAACAAAAAAAGTCGATAAATACATAATCAAGAATTGTCATTAGTTTAGACCAAGAAAACCATATTGAAGTAAAATAATTTTTCTAGCTGGCATGATCAAATGAAATGTGATTTTTGTTCAAAAAAAAAGTTTTCCGGAATCTTATGGTCTAAGATTTTGAGGTCAAATGGTTTCTTCGATTGCTACTCGTTGAAGTATTTGAAGGATTTCTTCACTAATTTGAAGATATTGCTCATTATTAGTAGTTGAACTTTGACTAAGATCAAAACAAATTTCAAGTAATCGATCAAAATATGAATGCATTAATTCATCTTCATTTTCAGTCCATTCCATTGAGATGAGTATGGCACCATATAAATCATCTTGTGGATTGTTAGTCAATAGCAATAACCATTCATCATTTGTGTCATCTTGTTCAAAGGAGGATATTTTAAATATGAATAGACTGAGTATTCGTGGCCATAAATTAAATGATTTGGATCTAAGACAATAATTAATGATTTCAACAAAGACACAAACAGTCCAATCAAGATTTGTTTCAACTTCACAATTGTTTGATGTACGCAGTGTTACTGCCATTCCTCCTAACTTTAACAAACCCATTTTAATCAAATCATTAAGTGCAACTTCCATTGCCGCACTAAGCAAACCTTTCGTTGGTGACAGTTCACTTTCACGTTTCTGTAGAAGTGTTGTAGTAAATAACCATGGTAAACTGAGAATTGGTGGTCGTTCCGATCCATTTTGTCCACTGTAACATTCTTGGTAAAGTGCATTAGCTACAATTTTGTGTCTCTTTTTACAACCTGGACATAAATCTTCAAACAGTGTATTTTGACTACAATTACTTTCATTGTCCTCACAATAAGTCAGTAAGCTTAAGAAGAAAGTACTACGTGTACGTGCAACGAGTTGTTTGAGTTGAATATACGCTGTATCTTCGAGTTCACCACCAATGGTATTCGTCGATTTTCGACACCATAGATCACTTTCATGCGAAAGTCCATATAAGTTTAGAATTTCCAGCATTTCTTGTCGATAGACATAAAACAATTGTGATGCCATAACTGTCCATTCATGATCTTGCGGAGATAGATTTGTATTAAGAAGTGAAGAATCTATTGGAATTGTATTTCTTTGAACATCATCAGTATTTGCTTCTTCATCTTCTTGGTCATCATCTATTTCTTCATCTTCATTAGATGTTCGAACTTGCAAATGACGTAAATGACGATGTCGTCGAAGAAGTCGATTCCATCCGGGTAGCATTCGACGTGATGAACGATAGAGTTTTCCTATAAATTAAGAAAAAACTTTCATACAACAAGAGAAATTCATTATAATAACGAGTATAATACAGAAGTCTGTACCATTTAGAATTAGTGGCAAATTTTCCATTCATCGAGTAACCATACTCAGAAAAAAGAAACATTACAGACTTATTTTCTTCTATATTTACCGAGTATTTTCTCCGAACGATATGATTTCAGATTTGTATTTTCCATGAAATCTGGCCGTATATTTCCTAATGGTCGTTTTTGATTTGTCATCTGATTTTCATCTAATGAATGGTGTCCAGTTTTTCCACTATCAACTTCTTGACTAATTGCTGCGGCTAATTCAATGGTCGATAAAACATCGGCAGCTGGTCGTTCGTTACTGTTTACTCCACAAATATCGGCATATGCCAAATGTAAATTAGATAATCGTCCTAATAAATCACTCTCACAAATTTTCAGTACAACAGAATTTATATCATTTCGAGTCACAGGTCGATCGAGTAGTGAAGTTTTTGTTTGTGAATCAAAGTCGAACGGTGTGGCATTACGAGTTTGTACTGGAACAAGATCTTCATGCCATATGATTGCATATTCATCACCATCAAGATCCGATCCACTGATTTGATGTGATGCTGGACAATTACCTTGTTGAGAAAAGACAATAACATCTTTGAGATGTTTCAATGCTTTATGATTAACAGCAGTAAATGTTCGAACATCACCAGGATGATGGCAAGGATTTTTTGTAACAACAACTTGACATTGATGAAGAATCTGTGTTTTTTCATGATTATTATTATGGTCTTTGTCTTCATCATCATTCATTATAGTATATTGAATAAAAACTTCATTTTCTTTTAACACATTGTACTCATCAATAATACCAATCATATTTCGAGCTTTATTACGTGGAATACGAATGCGTGTACGTCGAAGTAAATCTCGTACTGATAGAAGACAAGCTGTTATAACTAGGTGTCGAAAGAAAGGTTCACGAACAAAATCGATTTTGCAATTATCAGGCAAAAACCAATTCGGAAGTTTTTCATCTAGCAAATATTTTGCATCATCATTACGTAATAGAGCTCGAATAAGTGTTAAATGATTACGTTGTTGAAGAATAAGAAAAACAACATCGGATATACATCGATTAGATAGTAGAAGAATGACTTGTCGATTAAGATACAATGATCGAGGTGCAGAAACTTTACATACTTCAAAACATCGATGTGAACTCACGAATTTCTTCATACTATAACGTATACGTAGACGACAATCTGATTGCAATTGTGGATCAACACTCACAACACCTTTGGCGCCTGCATAACGGAATTGAACAGCACTGAAAGCTCGGTGTTTTCTAATTTGTTTTTGAATCTATAATAGAGATCAATCGCAAGTTTTCAATACATAACGTCATTCCTATTACTTACGTCATTTCTTAATTTTTCGGACATAGTTCCACATCCATCTGTGAATTTTAGTTTTCCATCTTGTGTTTTGATATCGTCAATGTATTCAACATATTTCTCATCTATCTAAACAAAATAATCAATATTTGAATTAGATTTAAGAATAAACTAATGAAAAAAAAACAGATTACATCAATACTAGGAGTTGTTGTTGAAAAACATAAAGCTATACGAGAAGCATATTTTGCTATGTTTTTCTCTTCGCTAAAATCACCCATCCATCTATAAGCGTCGTCAAATGATTTATTTACACGTGGTTCATGATAATAGAACCAAAATTGACTCGCACGTAATTGTGATTGTGAATGATGTAAGTATCGATAGTATCGATCATTACCCATTAAAGTAAAACCATTCTGTAAATAGTCAAGAAAATATTGATGTAAATCTTGAAAATGAAATGATTGTAATGGTTGACCATTTTCATCACGAATTTCGACAAGAGCAAAATGTTCTAATGCTTTACCGAATTCTTGTTCAGCTCGAAGAACTCGATTAGTTCGACATAATTTCAATGGTTTTATTCGAATAGTTGTTGGTGTCAATGTTACTGATGGTACATACGTTTCGGTATTCGAAGTTTGATTCAAACTATTAATTAAACCAAATATACTATTTTCTCGTTTTCGCTTTGATTCTATTATAGCATTATGTAATTTTTCCGACAAATTAACAAATGGTTCAAGTGTAAACAATCGCGAAAGATAAACACATACACGATAGAATAGATCATCAGCATCATCTTTTTCTTCACTTAATAGACGTAGACTATCACGAAATTGTTTATCGATTTGAACTTGTAAACGATAACCGATATTTGTCAACATTTCCCATGAATATTGCATAATAAGTTTGTCGAATTGCATAGGTAGAAATGAAGTTATTTCTGGACCTTGACATGACTTAATCGCACCATGACAAACAGTAATATTATGTAATGTAAAAAACGTTGTTAACTCATTATATGTTTCTCCTACGCGATTCGGAACTTCTTTATTCATTAAATTATTTCGATCGATCCGAAGTTCAAATTGTACAGTGGGAAAATAGATTCCCTTACGATTATTCGAACGTTTATCTTTCTCATAAACATATGGTATTCGAACGAAATTATTTAAATTTTCATTTGCAATAAACTCATTCATATTACACTTTTGACAAATATACATTAGAAATCCATCTGATAACAAATGAATAATGACGGTTTGATCAATATTCATTACTAATAATTGTTTCTTTTCCTGTTGCCTAGATCCTTCGATTATCCATTCGATGCATCCACCAGAACGTTTGTTATTTATAACAAGTGACCATCTGCTTCTCGATTGGTTCGACCATGAATATTTGGGTGCATATCGAAATTCGTCGAGTTTAATAAGTGCACCATAACGAAGAGAAATATGATGCAGATGTGAATATTTCAATCTAGTCGGTTTAGTACCTTCAGAATTTAATCGAAAACGTTGCTTTTGTTGTATTGTATTTTTAAGTTGAATCCAAAATGGACTAGATCGAATCGGAATAAGCCATTTTGGATCAATTGAATGCAAGGATTCAAGTTGAAAACGAATCAATGAAAGACCAAAATTCCATGAATGAATCCTGTCATAACCGTTTAACACCCATCGAATTCCTTGATTTGATAAACATTTTTGGAACTCGACTTTAACCTCTTCTATATGGCCATCGTTTGCAATCAGTTTAATTTGATCATGTTGTTCATAAATCTATAATGCAACGTTTTAAAGGTTTCAATTCGATTCAAAATTTCCCTTCAAATGTCTTACAAGCATAAAATTATTGTTTGAAGTTTGAAGTTCATCTTCGATTTCATTTTCCATAACATTATCTTCATTGACAAAATCATTTTCATTAGCAATATCGATCGAAACTTGTTTTGTTTCAGGTAATTTATCCCATAGAGAAATAGTCTGTAAATACATGAAAAATTTGTACATCCTTTTAACTGTATTCATATTGACATACGGAGGAAATTGAATCGCGTATCTGATTGGGCAACTTCAGCTTGTTCGACGCCATATTGATCATGTGTTTTGTCAGTTATACCAAAGACAAATTCTTGTTTTATTTTTCTTATCAAAAAGTTGTGCTCTAAACACAGAACAGTCTTCCTATATTGTCATGTTTAATAATCATTCAAGAATCAATTTCAGAAAAACTTCAATACAATTAAGATAGATAATTTGGGTGTTTCTAATAAATCTCTACGCGTTGTAGGATGAAGAATTCAAAATGTAATTTCCAACCTACAGAAAAAACTCTAAATAACGATCAGTAATTTTTTTTGTGAGTTTTTTTGAATATGCAAGATTTTGTTTTGTTGTGAAAGACTTAATTTTGTGGGTGAATTGCAATTACAGTTGCTGGTTAATAAATAATATTACGACGCTGTGACTTTTTTTCCCAGTAAAATTGAATGAATCATATTTCTTCAAAGATTTCTTTCTTTTATTTTTTCCCAGATTCCCCGAGTCTTAAATCAACAAGAAAAGATAAATAAATAGTAACGGCGTATGTGTTTCTTATTGAAACGTGGAATAAAAAAAACTCCATATGTGTTCTTCCTTGTCAAAAAAATTCTCCAATTATTTTTGTGTAATTCTATAATAATAGAAACAAAGAGCAAGAACAAAATTTGTCTTTACTCTTCAATTCCATTGTTCGTGACTTGGGAATTTATTTTGATTCAATTCGTACTTTCATTATATTACTTGACAATTAGAAACCAAACTAACTAATGAATTGAGTGTAGAGTATGATTGAATGGAGATGTCAGAAGAAGATACACACCACAACTTTGTAACGCAAATTTTCCTAAAGCCTTTTACAGAAAATAGAATGGTTTTTATTTTCAAAACAGAAAAGATCAGAAAATCTCTCCTTGAACTGATAGTCTCCGAATAATTTTCACATTTGCTTAGTATAATGATCAACGAAGAATCGATGACAAGCTGAGTGAACTTCTAAAAGGTACTGTATTAAACATAAATGATTGTTGATGAATCGAGTGAAATGAAATAATCGAAGTTAACATAACGTTTTTTTGAATTCACTACAATGTACCAGCGAAAAAAAAATGATATAATCAATAAAATATGAATTAGAAATACAACAATAACTGATATCTAGCTTACAACGATTGTACGAATTTATTATTATCATTATTTGATATCGTTTTTAGACACTTTGAAGTAAATACGAAAATAATTTCGACTATGGCAAAGAGACAAATATTGTAGGCAAAATCATAAAAGCTCTTTTATTAAGACGAGCGATATTTCTAACTACCACACGTACGCGTAGGGTTTGAATGCCTGAAATGAGGCGAGTTTTTTGCGTTTCGGAAAGATGAGAAATAAGAATTACTTGAGAAAGTGGTTATTTTTTCTCATCGCTAAGCTAAAAAGAATTCTACCATCTGTTTAGAAATTCTCATTGTTTTTTTTTTGTGTTTCTGTTAGCTGCCGAAAGCATAGTCCTCTATGTTTTTTAATGAAAGAAAGCAAGTATTATACGACAGAACAGATGAAAAACAAATTACCAGTGATGGAATATGCGTATGCAGGATTTACTGCCGTATAGCAAAAGATGCAGAATTTTATGGGCTACCAGAATATATAACTTCTTTTATATAAGCTTATTCCTATAGTTGAAATAATTTTGAAAAAGACAAATAGGAAACGAATAAAAAGTGCAATTCGAAGAAATCTGACGATAACAATAACTTTTGTCTGTTTGAAATTCTTTAAATGAATAAATGTAATTCTAGATGTTAGTATACAGAGTTGTAGAGAATTGTATGCACTATCAGAATATATAATCACTTTTCTAAAAGGGACAATTTATAGTAATCATATGTGAAACATATCGAGTACAATATTTTTTTTTCTAGACAAAGAGTTCATAAAAATGCAGAATATTGTTGAAAAACTTTTTTATACCAAAATTCAATATCACAAAGTTTTGAGAACAGAATTTCATGCATTTTGATGTGTTGTTTCAAATGAGACTATTCTCAAGTTATTCTATTGTACTGATCCGACTAACTTGCCATATCTAGGTGAGCATGTTTTGTGAAAATGGTATATGATGCCAAGGAACAATTATCCAGTGATGAGGTACTTTTAGTACTATCAAAAGATAGCCCATCGTCGATAGTATTTATAGTAAAACAAAAAATCTCTGTTCAAAATCTTATCGTTGTTTAGAAAATGAAAATTTACTGAAAAGTTTTGCTCTGAAAAGTATTCGAAATATAGCCTACCCCTCATACTTGCAACGTCTATATCTCCAGAATGGCTTATCCGTTTGAGCTGAAATTTTCAGTTTCTTCCTAACCTTGCTAGTCTTACCTACTGTAAAAATATCAGTCAAATCGGTAACATTCATTGCGCAATGTTCTGCAGGAATTGGTCGTGGGTGTGGGTCTGTCTAAAGAGAAGAACTATATCCACACCCACACCCTAACAACAAATCGTAATCGTGTATTTCAAGCTGCTATAATTTCCTTATCAATTTTAAGTATGAGACGTTTTACACAATGTCGTGCAGCAAAATATTATGAACGTAAAGCAACAATATTTGTATGAAAAATGATACGTGCTAAACTTTTAACGGATGGTACAGCTAAACAAGCAGAATTTGAACGTTTATTTGCAAAATCTAAAGTCGAAATAGCTGAATTAGAACGTCAACTTGATGAAATTATATCTAAACAACCAACTGAAGGAACTTAAAATTCTTTTTTTTTAAATCTTTATAATAGGGAAAAGAAAAATTCTATTTTCATTCCTCATATTTCTAGATTTATGGCATCACGAACAGTTCTTATTACTGGTAGTACACGGTATTTGCTTTTTTATCTTATTCACGCTTATAAATAGAAAACTATGCTTGATTTCAAATAATTCATTCTTCAATTCTCTCTATAAAATCATACTAGGACATTAGATTGATGAGAAAATCGAAGAATATTCAGGGTCTTCAATTTATTCTGGCAATAGATACAGCTCTTTGTTGTTATGCACAGTGACGAACATTTCCAAAAAAAGAAAATTATGACACAGAAATGAGTTTGTCAATGACGAAGAAACCTCACTAAGTGATGCTCTCTAGTTGCGCTTAAACTGCGCAAAAATGAATCAGTTGCTGAAAATATTCCTTTATAGAAAATACAATAACGTCGTTTTTAGATAAACTTGTTATACTTGTTTCTTTGGAACTAAGTTGGTCTTGGTATCACTCGTGCATTTGCTAAAGCAAAATATAATGTTATATTTAATGGATTAGAAAAAGATGGTAATGACACTGCAGCTAAAGTAGCACGTGAATTTCAAATTAATTATCTTTTTTCACCTGCTAATGCTTTACATGTAGACCAATTACGAACAATGGTTGATGAAGGTTTAGCACGATTTAAACATATTGGTTTGTTATTTAAATTTTTTTTTCTATTTGATATTAATTGAGATTATTTTTTTTTCTTTAAATTTCAGATGTTTTAATGAATAATTGTGGTATTCAACATGTTTCACCAATTGAAAATTTTCCTGATGATAAATGGGCTGATATTCTTCGTATTAATTTATCATCAGCATTTATTCTAACAAAAGCTTTAATGAAACCAATGAAAGAAAAAAAAATTTGGTCGAATTATTAATGTTGCATCAGCACATGGTCTATTTGCAAGTGAATATAAATCTGCATATGTTGCTACTAAATGGTTATGTAAGAACACCACTTGTTAATGCACAAATACGTGATCAAGCAAAATCTCATGATATTTCTGGTAGATTAATTTTATTAGAAATATTTTTATCAAATATTTTGTTTATTATATTCTAGAATCGGAAGTCATACCATGTGTCATTCTTCAAAAACATGCTGTTAAAAAATTTATATCAACTGAACTTATTGACAATTTATCTTTATTACTTGCTGATGAATTGAGTGTGACTTTGTAAGTTTTTGTGAAATATGAATTTAATAAAGTGTTGTAGTATAGGATAGGATATTTAGATGGTAACAGACATACAGTGAACATTTTTTTCATAGACTATGATGGACATATGAAGTTAGAAACCTTTATACTGAGTACATGTTTCTGTACGAGCACTTGATATTAAAGAAGAATCAATTTTTATGAATTCATCGAGTGAAAGACGCAGTTTGAGATTATATATAATCTTCTCAGGAGTACTTTCTCTTGCTTGGTTTTTTTTATTCACAGTGAAAAAAGCCTCCTAACTCTTACTAGAGGCGTTTTTCGACGAGGTTTCCCGATTAATGCTAATAAATAGAACAAAGACTTTTTGCGTTATTAAATTACCCATATATCATGCCTGTCTGGATACTCGTCATGAGATATAAGGTTTGACATTGAAATCTACCGATATGATTCAATTCGTAAAAAAATTCGGTAAATTTTCAGTATAATGTGTGCTATATTGGTAGTAGTTTGATACTTAAACGATCGACTATTTTCCGATCGTCATTCGATCGATAGTTATTCTCCGACAGGCAATTTATTGTCGATATACCAGCCGTAGTGTGAACAAACTTGCAACATGGATACTGTACAATACGATGATTTCTTTGTTGAATTTTGTACAATATAGAGTATGAATAGATGGAAAAAAATGTTGAGATGGTCATTGTGAATGAAAATTATTTGAAAAACATTAGAGATGTACACATTCTAATATTTCATTTCATACAGAACGATGTGACATCACTGAAATTCATCTTCTCATATGATAATTTTCTTTATGAGAGTGAACTTTCATACTATACTATTCTATAGACTTTTTTATTCGAAATATTTACAGAAGAAAATACCTGATTGGACAACTAGACTTATTTGTATGTTGCATGTCAAACAGTTAAGATGACAAAATATATAATGTGAATATCTTATAGTTCTCAGTAATAGAGATTTCGATAAAATGCTGTAAGGCTCATTTATTCTGAAACATGCGTTAGAATAGTTGATACCTTCTTCTTTTGGTTGATTGTGGTAAGATCTCAATTTTATATGTCATGAATAAACTTTATTCTTTACTCAACAAACTCTTTTTTTCTTTATTACTGCTATAGTTTATTATGATGATAATTTTTTTATTTGATTTTCCTTGATAATTATATTCTTCTCGAGAATATATTTATCAAGATCTCGAATTAGATACAATTTATTTTCAAGAATATTTTCTATTTGATTAATCAAAAGATTTGTCTTTTGATGCTTTTTTTTATCGTCCCGACAGTTGATGTCAAAAAGTCTCACATCACTTTCTATTTATAAGTAATGTATAAAAACTATATATTATTAATTTTATATGATTATATGCTTACATAACAGAAGTCATATACTATATGTTCACATCTGCAATGTGAGAAAACTTTAAAAATGAAATTCAATGAATAAAAAGTAATTTGGACACGAAAGAAAAAAAAAAGAACCACTTAATATTGTTATCATAAGATCTTAATAGTTTCATCACACAAATTAAACTTGATCAACTGTCGAGTAAATATTTTTAAAAAAATGTGCTTCAGTGAGCGATGCAAGCATATGTCATTTTCTTATTTGCGTCGTTCTAATTTGCCAATAATAAGAGATTTCAATGAGTTAAGTGTAAAACAATTTAATTATTATCCGATGAATTTAATATTAACGTTATATATATGACCTAAAAATAAAAAGTGCTGCAAGCATTTTGATGTTGACTGTAGAATAAAAATAGTATTAAATGAAACTAATTTATCAAACATTTCTTTTAATAATGATATTGATCATTTGAATAATATTTTTTTTTTTGGATTTAGAACTGGAATGGCAATACCTATTGATGGTGGTTGGTCTGCACAATAATAACAACACATGATCTATTTTCATAGTTTTTCTATACCTATTTGTGATAGAATAACAGATCAATTCATTTTAATTAAGTCTTAGAAAGTCTTAAATATATCATTTTCTTACTCTTCAATAAATTTATTTCATGATATCAATCATTTAATAAAGTCATATATTAGTTTTCGAATTTTTTTGCATTTAAAATCTTATGTTTTGAATAGAATGATATTAAAAAAATAACTAATGGTTCACTATTATGAATAGAAAAGCATAATATCTATTTCTTAATGATCTCTATTAACTGAGACATACAAGAGTGCTCTTAGAAAGAAGTATTTATATTTGTTTGATGTCTAATATATTAAAAGTTTTTTTTAGATTGTAAATTAACAACATGATCTGATTGTGACAATCTAGGTCACTTTTTTGTTTTTTATACTTTACTAAAAGTTTAGGGAAAGCCTTTGGTTAATTTAAATGATTTATTGTAGAATATTAAATTAAAGATAATATGCATGTAATTTTTGTTGTTTTTTTTCTTTCATGTTGCATAATTACAATAATTATAAAATCCGGTTAAATATTATTATTTCCTACTTGGAATTTTTTTTCTCGTCCCATTATCTACTTTGTATAATGTGGCAAACTTTTATTTTTAGAATATGTCATAATACATGTTTATAAAAAGCTTATAATCATAATTATTGATATAATATACATGTATAGATTAAATTCGATAGTTAGATTATTTGAATTGATAATAAATAAATTGGTTCAATGATCAACGATGATTTTTGCTTGGAAAAATTTTGTCAAGCAACTTTGTTTATCGTACTTTAATAAGAATTATTTTCTTGATAATCAGATAATAGATGTAAAAAAAAAAAGCAAAATGACTAAAGGAAATTGTAAACTACAAGGCACGAGATATTAACTATATATGTGTCAAAGATAATTTATTTGAAAAGCAAAAAAAAAATGAACTATTATATATGACTATAAGAATAAAAATAAAACACGAATAACAAATGATGTATTCTTCTATCATTTGAAAATATTATTTCTAAGTGGGAATAGTGTATGATAGTAATTTTTATCTGTTATTTTTTTTTTCAATTAATTTATCATGATTATAATACCTATCAAATAATAAATATAAAAATAATTTTGATCACTTAATGACAAATCTAATTCATAGGAAGTGAAAGATCTAGTCAAACAAAATATTGTTATGATTTTGGAAGATAATTATGTTGTCATTTGTTATTTTTAAAAATAATAAAAGTTTATTTGAAAGTTGCATTAACTGAAAAAGCTGTCATCTAGATATATCTTAAATAAACATTTCAAAGATGACATGCTGTTTATCGATATTTTCTTTTTCTTCATTGGACATTTCTTTTATTAATCCCTACGGAATAACAAGTAAGTGTTTTTCTCAAACAAAAAACGTAGAGCAAAATGTGCTTCATATGTCCTCAAAAAAAAAAATAAGTGCAAACCTTTAAGAGTAGTTCAAATTCTGAAATACTTGCTATCGTCGTTCTATAAATAAATTAACAAATATATTTATTTGCGTAGATAACATATATTTAATTAGAACTTAATAATTTGATGACAAATGACGGAAACATGCAAACGTTCAGGAACTATTTATAAAAACTGTCTAGACATAAAGGCAGAATGTGTAAAATTTTGACAGAGGAAATGGTTAAACATATTGGGACGTTCACACACTTAAAATAACTTTTTTTGTCACATAACTTTCAGCAAAATTTCGAAGTTTACGTTTTTTTTTTGAAGAGCATTTTTAAAAATGAAAATCAGTTGAATATGAATATGATGTTCAAATAATTAAAGATTATGCTACATGGATAGATAGTTATTTTCTCAAACAGTAATATGAACATTGAAATTAAACTTCATTCTTTTTCTTCTTTTATTTTCTACTCATTAAAATTCAATATATTTAAAAATTAAAACTTTAAAATAAGTTGATTTTTCTTTGTTGTTTATGAAATGTATGTTTTATCCTTTATGAAAAACGATCTAAACGAAGAGTTAAACACCTTCAATAGATATTACTATGAAAGAGAGAAAATAATTGACAAGAAATCAAACGGTAACATCTCCAAAAATTGTGGGTGTGGGTGTGGGTGTGGGTGGGTGTGG